GGTGGGGGGGTTGGAGTTTTCCTTTGGACTTTTGTTAATATATATATGTGTATTGCTTTTCTATATCGTATGTTTACTCACTGGTAGTTTTTCACTTTGTTACTTTGTTTCGGTTCGGTTATTTCTTTGGTCCTGTTATTTTTTTTTATTTTTTTTTTTTTGATTTCTAAAAACTTTTAAACATTTATGTTGGTGTTGTTCCGCCCACATCAACACAAACATTTATGATGCAGGCTGCCAACCCTGCCTGTTTGGGCCAATCAGGGCTAAGAGCGATACAACATTCCAACAGAAAGACCGAGATGTTCGACAAACGTTCTCCCCACTCGGGAATCGAACTCGGCTCTCCAGTATGCAACAGCTAAGCGCCTGACCGCAACACAACAGACGCGGGTTTTGATTCCGTAGGCTGCCTTACCTTATAATGTGCGAACGCCAAGAAGTCGATCATTTCCGCTCTCCCGCGCTTCTTTTTTAGCGAGTTATCGTCCTCCATGTCCTCCATATCCTCCTCCTCTCCCATAATCTTTCCACCAGGGACCAAATCTTCCTCCTCCGCCTCCGCCTCCTCCTCCTGTTTCATCTTCTCATCCTGCACCTCCCTCTCCACCAAGGCCTGCTGCATCCACAGCTTGGTGTGGTAGAAGTCGCCCTCGTTGTAACAGATGCGGCCCAGCTCGAAGCAGTCCTCGGCTGATGGGCGTGCCGCCGAGCGGTGAGTGGAGGAGGAGCGTGGGGGAACCGCCGGGAACGACACGAGCAGGGATTGGTGGATAGGGGTAGGAGGCGTGGCCCGACAGGCGTGGGAGTGGGGAGGGGGGCGGGGCGGAGTCAGATGCAAGCATGCAGTGTTAGTACACACGAAACAAACATCTAGCCCTTCACAGCGAAAAACAACAGCATTTTGCTTCGAATTTCTACACTGTTGTTTTTTCTTTGTTTCCATATACTACACAAAAAAGATGACAGCAATAATGAGTTCATTTCCACGGGCATCCAAATTTTGTTTTCTTTAGATGGATCTTTGAGTCTTTCGCGGCTTTTGATAAATATTGTCTTCATAACCTCCTTTCCTTCCTGTGCTTTTAAGCGATCAGCAAGAAAACACTAAGAGGCTTATCCCTGAACATAAATGAAGACGACAAAGAACAGACGTTATGATTCACAAGCCCAAAATCCAAACAAAAAAAATGTTTCCTTCATTCATTTTTTTTCTTTCGCATTACATTTATTATTTACTTTCAAAAACTGTCAAAGCCTACAACGAGCTCAAAGGTGAGTAAGAGACTTTTTTTTTAAGGCACGATAGAAGAACGATGAAAGGTAAGGGTGTTTCAAACGTTAAAACTGGGTTTTCTCTATACCTGAAAATGTAACTCGGGTCGTTTTTCTACAGTATTCCTATTCTTATTTCAAAGAGACTCGCTGCCCACTTCGTTTGTCAAATTCAGACTGTCGGCCAAAGTTGATTATATATATACACTCTTTGGAAAACGATTCTCTAACGATACTGATTACTGCAACAATCTAGTTACTAACCGTACGTAAGTAATTAGAACACAAGCTTGCATGCCATTCCAAACTGTTAGCACACAGCAGTCGAAGCATTCGTCATGTGATCGCACTCATACATGCTGTCATTCGAGCTTGCACACTGAACAAAACTCATGCAAGGTGTGTAAACATAGCAAAAAAATATCTTCTTCTTTGTCTTCACCATGTACTTCCTCATGCACTGTTATTGCATAACAAACATAACCACACAATCTTACAATAGGCTAATCAATGGGACACTAATATCTTCAATTTCATTTTCTTGATTCAAACCCTCACTCCCCCCCCCCCCTTTCCCATCACCAATAAAAAAGTGTATAAATAATGACTGAAACGTAGTTTTAACTTACAAAACAATAATCGTGTTTTCAGAACATCAAAAACAATCGGTTAAGTGAACAGTTCTTATTACAAAACATTTTAAAGCAGAAAAGTAACAACAACAACAACAACAACAACAAAAAGACAGGAGAATGTCTAATCTTACCTGTTAGTTCTGGCGACTTGACCCCGCCCAGGTTGCCATGGGCGACCTTTGATGTGTCCAACAAGTAAGTGTCCTGTAGCCTCATGAGCGCCGAGGCCGCGCCCTTCAGGTCCTCGTAGGAGGGCAGGTCAGTGCGGGCCTGCTCTATCTCGCGGAACATCGCTGTGTGTG